GAGTGAGTCATGTACATTGCAGTAAGTTTGCATGCTGGGTTAGATATTGTCCTAAATGATCCTATTCAAATTACTGGATACTTATGGTTTTCAAATGTGTTATTGATCATACTTGTTTACCTAAAATGCATATCATATAGGTGTGTCCAAGGAATCGAGAGTTAGTAAAATCGGTTGGTTTATAAATTGGTCTTATTTCTTGTTGAGCGTTAGCTCACTCCTGTTGATATTCATTTTTACAGATCTTTGGACATGCCACCGATCCTTATCCTAATAGTGACAGTAGTGACGAAGATGGTGACGGTAGGTAGCGGGGTGGAGTTGTGGATGTTGCTGCATATTGTGGGACTATTTTGGTGATGCAGTTGTTATTCTTTAGCTATGACCGTGAGGATGGGTGATTGGAGATAGTGGAAACCGTGGGTTTCATTTGGATGGCATTAGGGGAGTGGGACACCATTTTGACTTCCTGGATGCAGTCTTTTGCTATCATGTTTGAAGATGATGTCGTCCAAATCATCCTTGTACATAAATAAAAAGTTGGAAATGAAGATGTGGTATTTGCGTTGCGTGTGTATCTACTAAATGCAAATTGCTTACTTTGATTGTGTATTGTCTTCCGCTTGTGCTATAAGTGAAAAGATTAAAGAATGCCTTAGTATGTGACGCTCTGGAACGTCACATGCAAGAAATCTTCAGCCAAGTTGTAATGTACGGTACAAACTGTTTTGTTTTTATGGGAAACCTAGAGGACAAGCACCAGCACCAGCACCTGCTGCAACTAACAAAACCAGCACTGAGTCCGGCATTAGAGGTATGAGTTGTATAATACTCAGAATGTGCACTCGATTTGTCATGGTAAGCGTACGATGGTATCATTCCATTGCTTCTCATTCTCAATTTAAGCTGTTTTGTGTATCATAATGCCCTTGTTACGATCTAAATTATGATTATTCTCTCTTGCTTTCACTGAATTCCTGGTACTATTTACAATTGGTGCAAAGAAAAATCTGCAGGTTTATGGTATGATTAGATGCAAGGAATTACTTTGTGTTGACAGGGGTCAAATGAAGAAAAACTGCATGATTTGCAATAATTAGCCTAGTCATTGGATCGTGTTTACTAATATTCATCATTGGTTTGTGCATTTTTTTGAAGGGGACAAAGATATTTAAGAAAGGTTCATCTTGCTTGCCGTTGGGATGACCATCTTCTAACCTTTACCTCATGAGAGTAAGCTCTTGGACTTTTAGAGAAGGAGAACAGCCAAGAGGATTAGTTACTTCATCTGAGACGAGATTGGAGAAGAGTTTCCAACTGAAAACCATGGTGGAGAAACGTCGGTGGATTCTCATGAATTATCTTTGATACGATTAGACATTATACGGGCGGCCACCGCAAACTTCTCCAATAAGCGTAAACTTGGGGAAGGGGGGTTTGGCCTTGTGTACAAGGTAAGCAATTTAGTGACTCAACACCTATTTATGTGGAGACTAGGAAAACCATTTAATGGTAGCAAATTGGCAAAGTCATTATCCGTAACATGAAATGAATCGAATTTGGCTATCAATAGCAATCCTCAAACAGGGATTTCACTACTGATTTTATGATGTTTCAGGGCACACTGGCGGATGGAAAAGAAATTGCAGTTAAGAGGCTTTCAAGAACCTTAGGCCAAGGACTCATTGAGTTGAAGAATGAAGTCATCTTAGTTGCCAGACTACAACATAGGAACCTCGTCCGGTTATTGGGATGCTGCTTGGAAGAACATGAAAAACTCTTGATATATGAATACATGCCCAATAGAAGCCTGGATCTCTTCCTTTTTGGTTTGAGCTTTAGCAGATGCAATGAATTTTTTAGCTGGTTAATTTTAGTTTTATAAAGTTAAGTTTCATCTGAGTCTCTCATCATTGACAGATTCGAAGATGGGGCAATCTCTAGATTCGAAGATACGCATGAACATCACCTGTGGAATAGCTCGGGGACTTCTGTATCTGCATGAGGATTCTCATATGAGAATTATCCACAGGGATCTGAAAGCAAGCAATATTTTGCTACATGGCGAGATGAATCCAAAGATATCCGATTTCGGAATGGCAAGGATCTTTGAGGTAAATCAAGATGAGGCCAACACAAGTAGGGTTGTTGGAACTTTGTAAGTGCTTTAACATCTTTCTATGTCCGTTACATCTTTGAATGATTCACTAGGCCGACAAAGGACTCTCATGATCAGTTCAACATGACCAAAATGAGCACATTCATATTTAAGAAGTTTCATATAGAAAATTACTTTTCTTTGTTTCTTACTTCCAACTAATTGCTCTTCATCACATAATTATCGTGTCACGCCCCGAACCCCAATGGGCTCGCGACACCCCTTCGACGGTCGTATTGAATGCGACGTCCCAGGATGCGTCGCCGACCCAAACGAAACACCCAAAGACGTATGTAAGCGGAAGCGAAATTTAAAAAACCCAGACAAGAAACAATCAAGGAGGGGTAGCTCAAAGGCACGTACTCAAAACAAGAATTCATTTAATAAAACATACAACCTTCACATTTACATCACCTTAAACCAGGTTACTAACATTGAACCACGTTCATCAAAAGGGCGGTGGTTGGGTAGCTTAACTTCACTATTAAAAAGGGGCATCCAAAAAGAGGTGAAGCATTAATGTCCAAAGCCACTCCCGGTCTCCGAACCGCGCGTGACGACTATTCGTCACTCCAAGCCTGAAAATGTTTAACAACGGGAATGAGATAAATCTTAATAAGTAGACAACCTAAACCCCACCTAGGCCAATGCATACCCAGACAAGTCTCAACATGTAATCTAACCATCGACGTATTAGAAATCACATAAACATACTTACCTCGATTTTAATCATGCGTCAACTCTGCATATTAGTCAAATTGCTAAAATACAATAATATCCAAAGAACATATCACAATCGCTTGAGCGCCATATACACGTTCATTTATCCAATTCAATCAAGCACATTCCACATGCATGTCCATCCAACTATCCACGACCCGCGTAAACACGCCTCAGGTCATTTCTCACAGCTTGCGTCAACACGCCTCAGGCCCATTCTCACAGCCCTCGTCAACACGCCTCAGGTCCAACTTTCTCCAATGACCTACATAAACACGCCTCAGGTCTAACCTGCCTTCCACGGCCCGCGTAAACACGCCTCAGGCCATTCAGACAACCGCATATGCCACATTATTCAATCAATTACCACGTCTTTCACATAATCAAATATCACATAACTAATTCCAAATGACCACAACACAATTCACCATACTTACGCCAAAGAGGCCACGGTTCCACCAATTCACGTTGCATTTCAACAAGCACCTACGATCACCATTGAGCGATCACAACCAACCATTAATTCACCACATATGAACACAATTCAAGCATTGGATCACATGGGACATTCACACACTAAATTGATATTCTAGCATCAACGGCCACTCATACAATCACACTAAGCCACAGCTCACAATATGTGCGTTATCCCCATCACGAATATCAACACGAACTACCGTCAAACGACCATTAAATCATGCACGAACGACTGACGATCTTTGCATAAATTCCAACACTAACGACCTCCAATCCAACCACAACAGAGGTGAGTAGGGGCCTCACCAGAACGACAGCAGTTCCGGCAGTGGCTGGACAGCGACGGTAATGCGGCGACTCGTGCGGGCTGGCGTCTCAGTTGGACTGGCAAGGCAGCGACGGCAAGCTGTTGGGCAAGGGCGGCGACGACGGATCGGTGGCTTTGGCAGGTGCACGGCAGTCCACGGCGGCGATGGTCGGAGCAGGGACAGAGAGAGAGAGAGAACAGAGGAAGGGGAGGGGAGTAGCTGGTCGGAACAGGGGAGCAGCGGCCATAGTAGCACCGGCGGCAGCAGGGGCGGCGACCAGGCGGAAAGGGGCAGTCGGGTGGTAGTGGTGAGTTGGTGAGGGCAGCGGCGGCACGCGGCGGTTGCTGGCGAGACGAAATAAGGGAGGGTCGGGGTGAACCAGGGAAGGAGAAGGGGGGGTTGCGGCGGCAGTGAGGGCCAACGGCGGTCGACGAGGGCATGGTGGCACTGCAGGCAATTGGGCGAAGCAGGGTTGGCCGGCCGACGGCTAGGCAACGCCGAGCAGTGGCGGCAAGTGAGTTGCTGCTCGCACGGAGGAGAGGGGAGCGGTGGCCAGCAGTAGCGGCGAGCAGCTCACCGGACGGCTGGGCAGCGAGCGCGACGGCGAGGGGAGGGGGGGACGCGTGGCGGTGGGCGAACGGTGCACGGTGGATGGGCTGTGAGCGGGAGGCGAGCGTGCAGTTGAGTGGGAGAAGGACGATCGGGGCAGAAGAGAGATGGAGAGAGAGAACATGATGGGAGGGGGGAGAGAGAAGACGGTCAGAACAGAGGGGGGGAGGGGACGTGAGTGAGCGGGAAAAGAGAGAAGGGGAGAGAGAGAGAGAGAGAGAGAGAGAGAGAGAGAGAGAGAGAGAGAGAGAGAGAGAGAGAGAGAGAGAACACAAAAGTCAACATCCACTCAAGTACAATCTAACGGCCACAAAACTATCTCGCAAGCTTGATCCAACGGCCACGAAAATCCCAATTTTCAAATTAAAGAAAAGGCCAAAAGATACTAAATAAAATACACTAAGAGGGAGGTCTACTGATCAAAATCCGTACCCGGTCCAAATTTCATTTTTCGATAATTCCGGGCAATCTCGACACTGGCCACCATAATATCGACACCATCCAATTAAATTCGTCACAAAACTCCGAGAAATTCGACATCAAAGTTCAGGCTCTAAATAACTGCCAAATTCGATTGAGTGCGATTTTAGCGAAATCTCAAATTTAAAATAGCCCGAGAGTGATCAGTTCTGGGCGAGATTTAACTATAAGTGCACTGACGAAATACTCGCTTTATAAATCCCAAAAATGGGTCGAAATTCGGAATATCACATATCATTAGTGGATACATGGCACCGGAGTATACAATGGGAGGACAGTTTTATGTAAAATTGGACGTCTTCAGTTTTGGAGTTCTCTTGCTAGAGATAGTAAGCGGCCAAAAGAATAATGCTTTCCAAGAGCATGGTGAAAGCCTTCTCACCTCTGTATGTTCCCAGTCACCATCCCTTTTTAATATGAAATTCAAGAATTTCGTGTAGCTGTGCTTGTTTATTTTGCTTGCTAAATAACAGGCATGGAAGTTGTGGTCCGAAGGTCAAGGGTTGGCACTAATCGATCCGTTAATCAAAGAGTCATGTGATGGAGTTGAAGTGTTAAAATGTATACAGATCGGTCTATTGTGTGTTCAAGAAAAGCTGGAGGATCGACCGATCATGTCATCCGTGGTTCATATGCTCGGAGGAGATACTAACTCACTTCCCCGACCATTGCTGCCTGCATTCTTAGTTGGGAGAGATGTGAGAACACTCGATCCTATCGGTGAAGAAGCTTCAACTGTTAATGAAGCAACCGTTTCAGATGTTTCGCCTAGGTGACCAAGTATCATCAGCTCGTCATTAACTGAGTTCTTTTTTATACAATGGAAATGCTGTTAGATTTGATTATGATATTTATTTTAATTCTTCATATCTTTTAGGACTGAGCATATTCTTAATTAGTTGTGATATATTTAGATCATGTTACGGTCAATATATATCATGTAAAGCCAGCTTATGTTCTCTTCTTTTATAAATAGAAATATGCAGAAACATTCTCTCTTCCGCTTATTTCTTTATCTTAATATTAAAGGCAGACAATCTTAAGCAAATTTTGAATGCACCGAGTGCAACACACCCGAGTGTACACCCAGAGCGCACCTCGCATCTCGTTTCATTTATTATCATTACTAATATCCCTTTTTTCAATGTTGATTCTCAACATTATTGTCACGTGCGCATAAACATTAGCCTATTGTTGTGTAACCTACAAACTAGTTAGTTCTCTATTCAGCACATCAAATCACCTTTTTGGATCTTTTCTCCGAACTCCATTTGACTTGTTCTTCGTCACCTTGAGTTTGAGAGGTTGTTAAATATAATTTTTATACCTTGATCCTCCATTTTTCAGGACTGTGAATATATTTCCATTGATTGTGCATATTCCTAAATGTAATCGATATGATAAGCCCCTAGTTTATTTTGCATGTGTTTCCACTCCATTCATCAAATTCATGCGTCATTCCTCATCCAGTTTGCACTTGAGAGGTGTTGAAATATCAATCTCCTAACTATGGAACTTATATGCTCCTTATATACATGTGATCTCTCCATTTATTAACTCAAATTTTTGGATTGAATTTTCGAACTTTGCGATTTAATAAACTATAATGATAATTACAGTGTATAATCTCTTTCGCATTGTGACAGCCATTTCTTAATCCTTGATTTCTGCAATAATCAATTAATAATTTTATGGGAAAAAAGCCTGTTCATTAGTTGTCTTTTTATTCTACTTCACCTCTCATAATATAGCAGAATGATTATCGATTCTGCAAGTACTCCATCAATGTATACATACATAAATTATATAATCTACCTTAATTATATTTGTTAAAATCTAATGTGTGAAGAATGTTGGAGTATTTAAATACTAAACCACGCTTGAGCAGAAACTTCCGAATTCAAATCTCTCCATATGCCTATTTGTCTCTCCTATTATGTTTTTCTATGCTCCAATTTTAGGTCAAAGTTCAGTCTACATGTGAGGGAGAGGGTTAGAGTATTTATGTATCAAACCATGTCTTCATTAAATAACTTAAGTTTTTAGAATAGCTGATTGTGGTCTCACCAAATTTTTACAAAGAGAACTACCAAATCGAGCAAACTTACTGGGAATCATATTTGATGCATAAGTCTATAATGTTTCGATAAAATATTGTGGTGTCATTCTCTCTTGACTTCATGTCACTTGAAATTATCTTGGGATGCATGAAAGAGTTCACTTTAATCGAACTGGAGAATCGAACAACATTTGATCATCGGAGTTGAAGATTAAATGATAATAGAAAAATCATTTAAAGGAATCTAAAAATAATGATCAGGAATTTTTTTCCTCCTTCCTGGTTCCTACTCCCTGGATTGGGTTAGTTTGTCCCGTTTGAATGTAATTTAGTAGCTTTGTATGGGACAAATTATGTTTCTAGCTAGTAACAATGATCTAGATATTAAGAAGGTCAAGAAGTTAATTACCTCTTCATTAAAAACAAAAAAAACAGAAAAGCCTCAACATTTTCCATTTCTGTCAAAAAGAGAGCATTTTATACTAATTATCTCGCCTATATTAGAATTTTGGGTTTATTTTATACGTGTTTATAAATTCTAAATAACAAGGTAAAATTATTAGCAAAAAAGAAAATACCAAAAACATACCTCTCTTTTCATCCAATAACCAGTTAAGTACCTCTACTGTTGAAAATATAAAAAACATATTCGAGTTTTACCTATGAAGATCACTTTGCACATTCACATTAATTATTTTTGTGTGCCTATTTACGAAAATAGCCACTTTCTTTATAAAATGTCCATCCCCAAATCCTAATTTCTTACACCTGCCAAAATCACCCATAACCAACTAAAAACTAAACCACCAAAAACCTAAGCAAGATATTGAAATGAGTTTGCAAGGAGGAGCTTGTTATTGGTAAACAAGAGAATATTTTTTTAATTAGATTAAAATAAGTATTTACAGGCTTAGGGTTAAGCCTTGTACAATTACATAAATAACCCCAACTTGCTAAACTGCATAATAATAAGTAATAAACCTGACACTCCCTCTCAAGTTGGGTCGTACATATCAAATAGGCCTAACTTGTGGCAAATGTATGAAACTCGTCCACGTCGAAGAGGTTTCATGAAAATGTCTACTAGCTGCTCTTCAGAATGTATGTGCACCAATCGTATATCACCATAATTCACCTTTTACCGAACAAAATGAGAATCCATTTCTATATACTTCGTTCGTTCATGAAACACTGGATTGCTAGCAATGTGGATAGCAGATTGATTATCACAATGAAAAGTAGATGATCCAATCATAGGCAGTCCAATCTCAGCTAACAACATACGAACCCATTGAAGTTCATGTGTAACATTAGCGAAAGCATGATACGTAGCCTCTACACTAGATTGAGAAACAACGGATTGTATCTTACTTTTTCATGAGACAAGTTTACCACCAAGAATGACATGGTTTCAGAAGTAGACTGGTGATCCACAAGGCAACCTACCCACTTTGCTTTAGAATATGTTGTCACCTCCAAAGACTCAGGGTTAGAATAACCAGCTATATAAAGATGACCTCAATTATGGAACACAAGTCCTTGACCCAGAGCTCCCTTCAAATAGCGAACAATCTATAGGACAACTTGCTAGTGAGTAGTACGAGGAGAGCTCATGAATTGACTCAACATACTAACATCAAAGGAAATATCCAGATGAGTAATAGTGATTAATTTAACTTGCCTACTAACCGGAGATACTTCTCTAGATCATGAAGAAACTCTCTGTGTTCATTATCAAGCCTCACCCCAGGGTCCTTAGGTGTGTCACTAGGCCTAGCATCATGCAAGCCCACCTCCTAAAGAATGCCAATGAGGGAGAGTGATACTGTTATCGGCATAGGCAATCTCTTTGCCATGAAAATAACGAAGACGACCCAAGTTTTTAGTGTTAAACTCCTATAGAAACTGTTTGAGCCATTGTATACCTTCAACATCACTCCTAGTAACAATAATATCATCAACATAAACAACAAAAAAAACACACCTCTTTCAAGAGGATATACTAAACATGGAGTGATCCATACTGCACCGATGCATGCCAAAAGTAATAACTGCATCACTAAAGTGGCCAAACCAAGCACGAGGAGATTGCTTAAGTCCATAAAGGGCTTTTCATAGTTGGCACACTTTCTCCCCCTGAGCAACAAACTCGAGTGGTTGCTCCATATAGACCTTCTCTTGAAGATCACCATGAAGGAATGCATTTTTGACATCAAGCTGACGAAGAATCCACTTAAACCGAGTAGCCAAAGAAATAACGATACGATCGGAAGGAATTTTGGCCACTAGAGAAAACATCTTATCATAGTCGATATCATAAGTCTGAGTATAGCCCTTTGTAAGAAGACGCACCTTTAAGTGCTCAACTCAACCATTAGAACGGTATTTGACGACAAAGACCCAGCAACAACCCACCAATATCTAACAGGAGTCGAGGGTACCAACTCCCAAGTTTTATTAGGATATAATTTAGCTATCTCCTCCTCCATAGCATGGGCCCAACTTGGATGGGCCAAAGCCTCCAGCACATAACCGAGCACAATCACAATTGCAAGGGATGACATAAAGAGAGACATATGAAGGGTCAAGTTATGATAAGATAAAAAATGAGAAAGAGGATACTGAGACCTAATTGAATGAGCGATAGGAGAATCGATAGGAGCTGGTAGAAGAAGATCAGAAGCTAGGGTTGGAGGTGGTGGTGGTATGTCCGCTGGTGGAGAGTCATGACCCAAATTAGGGCAAGGACTACATGTATAGACCTGAAGAGGAGTTGGTGTAGGTGATCGTGAATCGAGCAAAGCATCAGTAGAAGAAACAAGCGGTGGCTTCGGCTCAGAAGCAGTGTGAGATACAATTGGAGTTAGTGGCAACGACTGATAAGGTGTTGAAGGTGGCAGAAGATCCATCGTCGATGGTGCCTGAGAAGAAACATTGCCAAAATATGCTTAATCCTCAGTGAAAGTACCATCAACAGAAGTATACTCTCGACAACAAGTAGGAATATAATAGACATAGCCATTTTGAGTACGGGAGTAATCAATGAATACACATTTTCGGCGGCAAAAGAATACTACAAGTGCCATAACTTGTGTACGGCGCTCACTTTGGTGCCATAAGTTTTTTTTGGATTACTTTAGTGCTAAAATTTTTGAAAACGATCACTTAAGTGCTAAAATTTTTGAAAAACGATCACTTAAGTATCAACTCCGGTGCCGTACACAATTTTTCGCCGGAAATCCGACGTGGCATTTTTTTATTAATTTCTGAAGCCGACGTGGCTCGCCGGAGATTGGCACTTAAGTGATCGTTTTTCAAAAAATTTAGCACTTAAATGATCGTTTTTAAAAATTTTAGCACTTAAGTGATCGTTTTTCAAAATTTTAGCATAAGTGATCCAAAAAAACTTATGATACTTAAGTGATCGTTTTTCCTCCGACTTGGCACCAAAGTGATCCGAAAAAAAGTTATGGCACCAAAGTGATCTCCGTACACAAGTTATGGCACTTATAGTGTCCTTTTGCCCATTTTCGGCACGAGGTGATAATTTGTCCAATCTAGGAGATAAAGAATCGACGAAATAGACACACACAAAAATATGAGGACGAACGGACCATAAAGGATGATCGGGCTGAAGAAGAGCATCAAATATAGCTCCCTTCAACACAGACGACTGAAGACGATTACTAAGATGATATGCTATAAGAAGATCATAGC